TTTTCGTGTACCTTTCCAATTTCCCCAGCACCTTTCATTCAAAGGCTGTCTTTTATCCATTATAAATTCTTGCCTCCTTTTTCATAAATTAATTGACCTTATAGGCGTGGATTTGTTTCTAGGCTCCTTATACTGTTCCATTGATTCATGTGTTTGTTTTTGTGCCAGTACCATACTGTTTTGATCACTATAACTGTGTAGTGTATCTTGAAATCTGGGATTTTGATAACCTCCTGTGTTGTTCTTTCCCAATATTTCTTTCGCTATTCAAGGTCTTTGTGGTTCCATACAAACTTTAGGATTATTTGTTGTAGTTCTTTGAAAAGTGCTATTGATATTTTGATAGGGATTGCACTGAATCTTTAAAGTGCTTTGGGTATTATGGTCATTTTAACAATATTAATTCTTCCAATCCATGAGCATCATGTATTTTTCCTTTAGTTTGTGTTGTCTTCAGTTTCTTTCATCAATATCTTACAGTTTTCACAGTGTAGTTCTTCAACCTCTGTGGTTAAATTTATTTGTAGATATTTTATGCTTTTTGGTGCAATTATAAATGGGATCTTTTTAAATTTCTCTTGCTGCTGTTTTGTTATTGGTGTATAGAGATGCAACCAATTTCTGTGTATTAATTTTGTATTCTGCAACTTTATTAAGCTCATTTATTAGTTCCAATAGTAAGACCATATATGAAACACCCACGGCTAACATCATACTGAATGGTGAAAAACTGAAAGCTTTTCCTCTAAGATCAGGAACAAGACAAGGATGTACACTCTTACCACTTTTATTCAACATAGTACTGGAAATATTAACTGCAGAAATCAGGCAAGAAAAAGAAATAAAAGGCATCCAAATTGGTAAGGCAAAAGTAAAACTGTCACTATTTGCATATGTCATGATTGTATATAGAGAAAACCCTAAAAGACTCCACCAAAGGTTCCTCCATGTCTTCTCTTTGCCAATTAAAGCTGCTGTAAACATCCATACAGATTTTTGTGTGGATATAAGTTTTCAAGTCCTTTAAGTAAATACTGAGGAACGCAATTGCAGGGTATCATGGTAAGAATATATTTAGTTTTGAGGGTTTTTTTTTGTTTTGTGCGTGTGTGTGTGTGCGTGTGTGTGTGTGCGCTCGTGCGCGAGGGCGGGGGGGGGGTGGTTCATTGCTTTTTTTAATCTAAATTTTAGTTAGCTAACATATGGTGCAATATTGGTTTCCAGAGTGGAATTCAGTGATTCATCACTTACCTTCAACACCTAGTGCTCATCCCGTCAAGTGCCCTCCTTAGTACTCATCACTCATCTAATCCACCTCTCACCCACCACTCTCCATCAACCCTCAGTTTGTTCTCTATTGTTAAGAATTGGTTGTGGTTTGTTTCCCTCTCTCTTCTCCCCCGCCCTTCCCATATGCTCATCTGTTTTGCTTCTTAAATTCCACATATGAATGAAATCATATGGTATTTGTCTTTCTCTGATTGACTTATTTGGCTTAGCATAATACATTCTAGCTCCATCATTCTAGCTGCCATCTAGCTCCAATACATTCTAGCTGCCATCACTTCAAATGGCAAGATTTCATTTTTTGATGGCTGAGTAATATTCCATTGTATATATGTACCATATCTTGTTTATCCATTTAACAGTCAATGGACATTTGAGCTTTCTTCATAGTTTGGCTATTGTTGATAATGCTGCTATAAAAATTGGGGTGCATGTACCCCTTTGAATCTGTATTTTTGTATCTTTTGGGTAAATACCTGGTAGTGCAATTGCTGGATTGTAGGGTAGTTCTATTTTTAACTTTCTGAGGAGCCTCCATACTGTTCCCCAGAGTGATGGTACTAGTTTCCACTTCTACCAACAGTGCAAGAGGTTCCCCTTTGTCTGCATTCTTGCCAACACCTGTTGTTTCTTGTAGTGCTAATTATAGCCATTCTGACACGTGTGAGGTGGTATCTCATCATGGTTTTGATTTGTATTTCCCCGATTATGAACGATGTGGAGCATCTTTTCTTGCATTTGTTAGCCATCTAGATGTCTTCTTTGGAAAATCGTCTATCCATGTCTTCTGCCCGCTTCTTTACTAGGTTGATTGTTTTTTGGGTGTTGAGTTTGATAAGTTCTTTATAGATTTTGGATACTAACCCTTTATCAGATATGTGGTTGTAAATATCGTCTCTCATTTCATAGGCTGCCTTTTAGTTTTGTTGAGAATATGTTTAGTTTTGTAAGAAACAGCCTGTCTTCCAAGGTACCTGTACCATTCTGGATTCCCATCAGCAATGTACAAGAGCTCCTATTGCCCCACATCCTCCAGCATTTGGTGACATACACCAATTACTTTAAAAGTTCATCTTTGGGGCGCCTGGGTGGCGCAGTCGGTTAAGCGTCCGACTTCAGCCAGGTCACGATCTCGCGGCCCGTGAGTTCGAGCCCCGCGTCGGGCTCTGGGCTGATGGCTCAGAGCCTGGAGCCTGTTTCCGATTCTGTGTCTCCCTCTCTCTCTGCCCCTCTCCTGTTCATGCTCTGTCTCTCTCTGTCCCAAAAAATAAATAAATGTTGAAAAAAAATTAAAATAAATAAATAAATAAATAATAAAAGTTCATCTTTTCCCCCTTGATTTGAGATCCTATCTTTGTTATATACTACATTTTAATATTCATTTGGGTCTCTTTATACGTGTTCTATTTTGCCATTAGTTTATCAATTTGTGCACCAATACCCCACTGTTTTAATTATGGAGGCTTTATAAATTATATTAATATCTAGGAGAGCTACTCTTCCCACTTTTCCTTTTTAGAGTTTTCCTGATGATTACTGCTGGTTTATTCTTCCATGAGAACTTTAAAATCAAGGAGTCTAACCCCAGATTAAAAAGCAAATAAAGTGGCGCCTGGGTGGCGCAGTCGGTTAAGCGTCCGACTTCAGCCAGGTCACGATCTCGCGGTCCGTGAGTTCGAGCCCCGCGTCAGGCTCTGGGCTGATGGCTCGGAGCCTGGAGCCTGTTTCCGATTCTGTGTCTCCCTCTCTCTCTGCCCCTCCCCCGTTCATGCTCTGTCTCTCTCTGTCCCAAAAATAAATAAACGTTGAAAAAAAAAATAAAAAGCAAATAAACACCAAAAGCTCTTTTTTTTATTGCAATCAAGTTGAAAAAAATTTTTTTAAGTTAGGGAGTATTTACACTTTTATGATTGAATTTTCCAACCAAGAACATGGAATGTATTACCATTTTTTAAGTCTTTTTTTCCATCTTACAGATGTGGAGTTTTGTTTCACTCACTTATGTTTGATACAAATTTCTTGTAAATTTATGCCTTGATTTTTTTGCTGTTTATAGAATCATTTGTTATTACTTTTTGGTTGTTTTTTTTTTTTTGTATATATTAAGGTTATTGATTGTTTAATTTTATACACTGCAGCTTGACTAAATTATCTTGTTTGTCATTGTTTTTACATTACTTCTTTTGAATTTCCTAGGTAAATTATATCATCTGCAAATAGAAATAGTATTACCTCTTCCATTCCAGCTCCTAAGCCTTTAATTTTAAAATCTTACCTAATTGCATTTGTTAATATGTTCAATACAAGGTTAAATAGCAGTGGTAATAATCTTGTTCCTGATTTTATTGGGAATGACATTAAGTAAGAATCTGACTTTGCGTTCACACACACAAAAACACATCTTGAATAAGCTACTGTTTCAGCACTTTATGCTTCTAAAGGATAATGGCGCATAACATATGGAGAGTCAGCCTGTGTATAGTTATTCTTGAATGAATCTGGGTTTTTCAATGAGAGCCAAGGACTTGAGGGAAATATAAATGTCTAAGAGATAAATCTCCATTAATTCCTACTTTACTGAGTGTGAATTGACTATTTTTAAATCACACATGAGTGTTAGATTTTTGTAAAATAACTTTTCAGTATCTGTGAAATGACATAATTTTTCTTAGGCATGTTAATATGATGAATTGTACTATTTGAGTCCTTCATAATAAACTACCCTTGCATTCAGTCATAAAGTCTGATTGTTTGATGTGCTAGTGGATTTTCTTGGCTAGAATTTTATTCAAGGTATTACTATTTATATTCATTAGAGATATTATTTATATTATCTATATCTATATTATTATCTATATATATTATTAGTTATATAAATATTACTATTTATATTCATTAGAGATATTGGTCAGCTGTGCTCTTTTTGTTAACTGTTTTAATTTACATAATGAAGGTTTTGTCATAATATACCAAAGAAGACCATCAAATAGTCCATTAAATCCATTAAAATCTATTAAGTCCAGTAAATCCTTAAATTCTAAAGTGATTATAGTCTATAGCAAAATTTTCCTGGCGCTATGGAACACCAGGTCTAAAGCTCCAGGTCTACAATCAGTCTTCATTTTTATATTTGTCCTTCTGTATCTTTGGTTATCAACTCGTATTTCTGAATGCAGAGCATCCTAAAGTACCTTGAATCAACATAAAACATCCTTTCTCTCCCCATTGGTATGAGCCAAAGGCTTCCATTCCTAGTTAATAATTTCTAGCTGAACTTTCATATAACCTAAAGTTATGCTGCCCACAGCAAAGAATATTATATTTGAAGCTTCTCATTAATATGACTCCAGTATCTTCCCCTTTTTCCTATACAAGACCTCTATATCCTGAGAATTACAATCTTATGCTGGTGGCATGAATTTTATCTTGTGGAGACATTCTGATCCATTATAAATACTTTGTTAATTTGTTTAAAACAAACTACTACACTTTGGTAGCAACATTAGAGTAAGAAGAGAGGGCTCAAACGTGCAAAGAAAAGCAAAGCTCGTGATTTTAATATAGACCTCATGTGTATTTTAAACTATTTTCTAATTTACTTGTCCTGTTACATGTGTTTGATGCAAGTTAAACCAAATGTATACTTTTAATAAAACTCTGTATCAGTGCTTCCATGAAAACTGGATTTTTTTTTTCTTGTCGGTCTCTTGCAGAGGACATAAGGATAAGATATTTGTGGTAAAGTGTAACCCACACCATGTTGACAAACTGGTTACAGTTGGGATGAAGCACATCAAATTCTGGCAGCAAGCAGGTACTGTTCTTTGGGTTTATCGTTTATGTGGTTGAAGAGCTTTAAAAAAAAAAACAAAAACAAAAACAAAAATCCAACTGAAAAAAAGGCCACCACCACTACCGAGCAATTTAAAATTAAAATGTGTCAGGAAGACATGCTATCCCATATTCACTCGGCTACTTGATGTCTAAGTTTTAAAACACTTTATATGCTGCTAAGCATGTTTATCGATAACTAGAAAGCTTTGGGAAATGTTCTACTGTGAAAATAATTATTTTCATAGTCATCTGTTCTGAAAGCAGTCATTGTGTTAGACTACTGAGCAGGAAATAAAATAATCACTTTGATTGGGTGGATAAATTTTTCACTACTTTGAAGGTTCTTTTATTTATCACTGAATTTAACACATGAATTAATCCCTGACACTATACACAGTAGGTGATCCGAATAAATTTTTATGCATCATAATGTTGATAAGGATGAGTAAGTAAGCATGTCAGAACATGCACGCACATTTTATTTTTCTCACTAATAAACCAGACCTGTTATTGGGATTGTGAATTCTTAGTATTGGCTTTGATACCAGGCTTAATCTTACACTGAACAAAACATAAGCAACTGTTCCAGTGCTTTCTACGTTCAAAGAAGAGACAATGGCATCCAACATGTCTGGAGAACCAGCCTGTGCATAGTTTTCTGGAATGGGTATGGGCTTCTCAATGCTAGTTGGGAAGTGCAGGGAAATGTGAACATTGCAAGGACAAATCTGAAGTATGTACCTTTTCCTACACAGTGATTCATTTTCTTACCCTAAAGGTCTTATGATAATAATTGAGGTAAGACATACATAACATATTTACATTTTACATTCCTGCCAGTGCTGTTTTCATTCTCCTTGGTCAGCATGCATGTAGACTTTCCTAGTTACCCCTGGCACTTAGTCACTCCTTCCTCTGTCTGGCACAGAACTGGCACTGAACCTTGGTTAGCCACATGTCTTGTTGGACCGAGATGGCGTCCTCTCTCCAACCAGAACCTAAATCCATCGAATGAAGAAACTTCTTCTCATCTTTATACCCCATCATCAACCACTGTATCTGCCGCAAAGGAGGGATTCAGTAAACATTGAATTAATGAATGTGTAAATTAATCTTAAAATATTTTTATGATTTTTCTGCCATATTTATACATCTGTACATATGTATATATAATGTAGACACCCTGGGTTTTCACTGAAGACAGTCATTCCAAATGCTCATAGAAGGTGTCAGTTTTTCAAAAAATAATACATATTCTTGGTCCACTTCAGGTGGGGGCTTCACCTCTAAAAGAGGAATTTTTGGAAGTGTTGGAAAATTGGAAACAATGATGTGTGTTTCTTATGGGCGAATGGAAGATCTAGTGTTCTCAGGAGCAGCTACTGGAGATATTTTTATTTGGAAAGATATCTTCCTACTGAAGACAGTGAAAGCTCATGATGGGCCTGTGTTTGCTATGTATGCATTGGATAAGGTATGACATATTTTCATCATTAGCTTTCAAAAATTATAAATTAGTCTTTGGAAGGCCCACGTCAACAGGATGCTTGTTTCTAAAACCAGTCCTATCTGAATTGGGAAGTAGTTGTCATGAATGTAAATGAGTACAAATATTTTTAAAATTTCACTCATTTATAATTATTTCTTTACATGCAGTTTCTCTCCACTTTATTCACACTCCTTCTTCGTGGCTCTCACCTCTGAAAATCCCTTAAGAAGTGTTGGGATAATGTACACACCCAGTAGCAGATGAGTCCTGAGGAATATTTCAGCACTCTCTTCCCCCTTTGTACGCAATAAGGAAAGACCTCAAAGTACCAACCGGTTCAATTATTATCCTGCTCAGCAATCTGACCAAAAGTCAAGTTGATAACCAGCTTGTTCCTGTGTGGACAGGTTCAGCTTTCACAAGAGTGTTGGAGTGAAAGCTTTTCACTGGCTGTATAAGGGTTTTCCAAAGAAACAGAACCAGTGGGATTACAGATTACACATACACAAAAACCAGATGTACTGTAAGGAGCTGGTCCGTGCAGTTATGGAGACTAAGAAGTCCCACTCTGCCCTCGGCAAGCTGTAGACCCTGGAAAGCTGGTGGTATGATTCACAGCAAGTCCAACGGCCAGGCAACGAGGGATGCCAGTAGTGTAAATCTGTCTGAGGATGGGAAAAGATGAGATGATTCAGCTCAATCAGTGAGACAGGAAAAACAGGGATGAATTCCCCCTCCTCTGCCTTTTTTATTTGGGCTCTCAAAGAATTATCCAATTCTCACCCACCTTGGGGAAGGCCATCTACTTTATTGAGTCCACCAATTCATCGCCTCTCGGCCTTTTGGCTAAGGTCAAGTGTGTTGAGTCCACCAATTCAAATACTGCTCTCATCTGGAAATACCCTCACAGATATATAGAGAAATAATATTTGATCAGAGCGCCCTCTGACCAATCAAGATGACACAAAATTAATCATCACATCTGCTATATCTCCACTTAAGTTCACCTTTGTCCTGATCTGTCCAGCTACCTTCCTGCCTTGCAGCGATTTTATTTGTTTGTTTTTAAGAAAGATCACACTGTCAGTACTGCTAAAATACTTTGTTCAACCCATTTGCCAGAAAAACCTGTTTTTCAATCACCGCCAGCTTGCTGGTGGTACCAGTTTATCTGTATTCTCTGACCTCCAAACAGTGGAGGCCAACAAACCTAAGCCAGTCCTCATTTTGCATTCACCTGTTCCCAGGAGGGAACTTCTGATCCAGGTACAGAAGTAGGTCCTCATTAGATGTGCAATTATAATGGTTGTTTTAGTGGTTAAGCTGTTGCTTATTGGCAAATTTGTTTTGGGTGAAAGTGCACATTGGATAAGATTAAGGTAGAATGCAAAATTTGAGCAGGTCTAGAAGTTCATGTGCAATAACTTGTTTAAACTCTTTTATTGCTTGGTAAGTTAACCTGAAACATCATGGAAAAGATGAGGATGACACAGCATAATAAACCGGATTTAAATTTTAATTTGGGAATTAAATCTTCCCTACAAACCTATAATGAGAATACAGAATTTAAGGTAAAAAACTTTAAAATATTATTTCCACGTGAACTTCGCTGAAGTAAAGTAAACTAAGTCTCCAAGAAAACAATTAATTACTGAGTATTTTTCATCCGAAAAAAGGATTTTCCTAAGAGCAGGTTGGTATATGTATTTGCCGGAAAGGAAAACTAGTAAAGCCAAGAAATCATAAGCTTAGAACGAGAATAAAAACCACTGTTCAGTAAAACAAACAAACAAACAAACAAACACTGTTCAGTAAAACAATATGTTAGGCATTTTACTTTCCAGGTTTTATAAAAATTAACCTGGAAATTGATGTTCACTGAACAAAATAGGATAGTTTTGTTACATGAACTGCCTAAGTTACTCTTAGTAAATAATGGTGTTCTCTCCTGGAAGTAAGTGTTTAATTTTAAAGTATTTAATAATCATTTTAATTGTAACATTAATTCCAGTTCATTCACTAGGAAGAGATGAGGTACCAGAAACTCTGCCAGGCTTTCAGGCTGGTCCTATTCCCCAGGTACCCACATTGAAGTAGGGGGCTGGGCACAGAATCGGCCATCCATGACCCGGGGTGCCAAGTGCCAACCAAAGGTCTGAGGAAAATGTAAAGAATACACAGTGAGAACATGCCATCCACCGCAGAAGTAGGGGAGTGTGCTTCCAGCCAGTATTATATTAATATTCTATGTTACCAAGTTTTTCAGTCTCCTATACTTAGGAAGAAAACACAGACAAAGCTGCTTTTCCCAAGGGGGACCCCTTTTGAGGCCGGGTGGGTAACTTGTCATTTTGATGTATATTTAATTCTTCCCACGTGTGTCTTTGCAGGGTTTTGTAACAGGTGGAAAGGACGGAATTGTGGAGCTCTGGGATGACATGTTTGAAAGATGCTTGAAGACTTATGCCATTAAAAGAGCAGCATTGTCAACTAGCTCAAAAGGTGCCACTCCCAAATACGTAATAGGAATCTTTCTTTTCATAGGAATGGAAAAGATGGTACCAACGTTCTTAGACGGCCATTACCAAATCACTTCTCCTTCTTCTGCATTTAGAGCTCTTAGCCCCTGGTAGAAATATCGAGGGGGATTGCCTAGTATCTGCTTTTGAACTACAAAGACAGAATGTATATAATAATCAGGCTTCTTCTTGTTGTTCTACTAAATATAATATTTGCAATATTAAGTACTGTATTTCCCCCCTCAGGCTTGCTTTTGGAAGATAACCCTTCAATTCGTGCCATTACTTTGGGACATGGGCATATCCTGGTGGGAACAAAAAATGGGGAGATCCTGGAAATTGACAAAAGCGGCTCAATGACACTGCTCGTTCAGGTACAGTTTACAGATTCTAAAGCACAGTTCCCATCAGAGCCGGGACTAGGGTGAGGCAAGGAGGCCACTTAGGGTTCAGTGTGTAAGTAGGTACTCAGTCTCAGGGTTATGCAACTGCTGTGTTAATTATCTATTGCTGTATAGTGAATTGCCACAAATTTAGCAACTTAAAACAATACATGTTTATTTGAAGATTTTTGTGGGTCAGGAGTCCAAGTGTGGCTTAACTGGATCCTCTGCTTAAAGTTTCACAAGGTTACAGTAAACGGCTGCAGTCTCATCAGAGGTCCACCTGAGGAAGGATCTGCCTCCAGGATCACTCATGTTGTTGGCAAAATTCACTTCCTTGTTGTAGGACTGAGGGCTCCATTTCTTAAAAAAAAAAATTTAATGTTTATTTATTTTTGAGATAGAGTGCGAGTGGAGGAGGGCAGAGAGAGACACAGAATCCAAAGCAGGCTCCAGGCTCTGAGCTGTTAGCACAGAGCCCAAAGCAGGGCTCAAACTCATGAACCATGAGATCATGACATGAGCCGGGGTCAGACGCTTAACCAACTGAGCCATCCAGCGGCCCCAAGAGTGCTCCATTTCTTGTTGGCTGTTGGCCAAAGGCCACCTTCAGCTCCTAGAGGCTGCACGCAACCTTGCCACATGGGATTCTCCAACGTGGCTGCTTGCTTCCTTGAGGCCACCAAAAGAAAGAGAAAAAAAAAATAGGCAATATGGTCTTATATGACATAATCATATCATCAAATACATGTAATGTTGAACATCCATATCCTTTGCCATATTTTATTGGCTGGCAAATAGCCACAGGTCATGCTACACTCAAAAGGAGGGCTTACACAGGAGTGAAAACCAGGAGAATCATGAGGGTCACCTCGTGAATGTGTCCATTGCATTCTTTTCCCTGGTCACTGATTATTACTCTCCCTACCACATGAAGAGTACATTCCTCTCCCCTAGAGTCCCCAAGAGCGTTATCCCATTACAGTATCTGTTCAAAGTCCGTAACCTCATTGTCTAAATCAAGTCCAGCTATGGACGAGGCTTTTTAGGTATATTTCTTCTCAATCTAGAAAACTGTCAGAAAAAATTATTTTCTCGACTCACACCAAATCTGCAAGTGTCTCCTTAGATTTTATGCCTCAGTCTAGTCTCAGTCTTGAGGCATGTAAATGTATGACCTACTTCTTACCCTCCCTCTCCCCTTAAGAATTATATTCAGGTAAAATCACATTAAAATAAACATCAACAGAGTCTTCAAAGATCAGTGAAGTGAAAAAATCTCACTTCAGGGGGTGGGAGTGTGTGGAGATGACAGATAGTCCTGCCCAATTTGGTGATGGATGGACCTTATTTATGGGTGGAAGAGGCTCGTGGAAGAGGGTGGGGGTACATTCAGAAGGTGGAGTGAAAAAAAAATATGCACTGATTATATAAGTTTCAGGATTTCTGTGGGTCCAGTGGAGGAGCTCCATCTCTGTCTCCTACAAGCTTGCTATGTTAGAGATGAACCCCAAAATCCCACTGAGAGTGGCCCTCTGATTTGCTGCACCTTGGAGACAGGTGTGCACACAGAACCATGGTTTAGAACACTGTGAGGTTTTAAAAATGCATGTACCCAAGCCCCACTCAGTATGTCCCGAATAAGAATGTGTTTAAAAAAGAATTCCGTGTTAAAAACAAACCTCCAAAGCTCTGTCGCTGACTGTGCTTCGGAGACAGGATTGAGAATGTGCTGGAGGTACATCCAGGAGGTGTCACTTCTCTGCTCTCCAGCTGATCTTGATTTTGTTTCCTTCCCAATGAATCGCTTTTTCTTTCTGGCCATGACTTCTTATTGAATTTTATTGAAAAGTGACTATTTCTTTCTAATGCCCGAGTGTTTGAACTTTAATTTGTTTGCACACATGCTATATTGCTAAATATTTGTTCACATCCTTACTATATTATGACTTAAACAATACTGTAAGATTTAAATTCTGTTTTCTAATTTAAAAAATATTACAGTTGAACTTAATTTCATTTAAATATCTTTTAAACTTGAAAATAAAAGCTTTTAGCCTTTCATTCTCTATAATTCTGTTCTTTCCCCTATTTGTTTCTGTTGCTCTAATAATAAAAGCAGCCACGAGTACCACTTATTGAGTGCCTACTATGTGTCAGGCAATACTGTTGCACAGAATTTATTTCTCCACAACAGATTTGCTCAGTTGAAATTGTTTAAAAGATGAGGGACCCACTGCCCAGTAAATTGTCCACATCCATGTGCTAAGAACTATAGAGCTGGATTTCAAACCAAGGTTTGTCAGATACCAGAGCCTTTCCTTTTGCACTACACCGGGCTGTTCTCCAAATGTCTCAGCATGGAGACTGCCAGAGAGCCATGCAGAAGGCGTGGCCTCCTGATCCATGGGCAGGCAGTAATGCTGGTGGAACCTTCAGAAAAAATGTTGGTTACCACCATCTTGTCTCCTTACGCTTGTACCATTCTTTTCCTTTTCTGTTAGCATCTCTCTTTCCTCTTCTTGTCTATCACTCCTTTGCCATTTCCTCCTAAGCAGAACTAAGTAGTTCAATTCAATCAGTGTTTGTTGGGCTCCTGCTGAGATCAGCCTTGTGCTACATGCTGTACACAGTGGAATAGGGCTTCCTATCCTCTTGGGGCTCACAGGCCTGCTCTGAGAGAGGTTGGACACTGAGGGAAAGTTAAGGAACAGGAAGCATGATTAAGACCATCAACTACCCTGCTGTGGGAAGATGTCAGAACCACTTTGCCAGTTTCAATAACATGGCAACTCAATGTCACTTGAAATAGATTCCTTATTTTTTTTAAGAGAAGGCAGTCTGGGTTGGGGGAGAGAAGTGATAGGAGATGAGTTCTGAAAACTCCCATTGTGTATTCTTTGAATATAATCGACTCTGAATTATGCACCTATTTACTACCAGCTTTATGGGTGATCAGTAGGAAGGTAAGATTCCAAGCTCATTCCTCTGCCACTTGAGATACTTCCAGCCTGTCTTGCTCACTGTCCATTCCTATGTTACACAGAAACTTAGTCCTGTCACGTTAGGGAAACATGATGTCTAAGTAAATACATGAGACAGTTGTTGAAAAGGATCTCAGAGGTGTGTCCTGTCCTCAAGCCAAATGTAAAAGGAACTTGGTCTGTGAAATGGCTCCAAGCATATCCATTCTGGGGGAACACTGGGGTTGACACCTGACCTGTCCTCTGACCATGACCTTTGTGGTAGGAGGCTTCAGATGGGAAGACAACTAGAAAACTAATGAGGTGCTCCAGATGCAATATATTCACTCTTTGGCCCTTGTCAGCTAGTTGAATGTCAGCTCTATTTGGAACTTTGTATCTTCTGCCAAATTACTCTTTTGCTCAAACAATTTCCCTGTTAAACCAGAATCATCCAGTTTCTCTCTGGAAAGCCACCTGTTCCCTGAAGCATTCCAAGTACAAACACCTTTCACTTGCCTGTATGGTCTTCCTTTTTGCTTTACTAAGCAAAGCCTTTTTATAATTAGCCACTAAAAGCAGAAATTCAGTGAACAGTCTGGTCTCTTTTATTGTTCTGTGCACTAATCTATTCTCTACACTGCTTTATCAAGTAATAAATTGTAGGAATCAGAGTCATTTTCTTCCTAATTGTTCATTTTTAAAATCGTTTTTATCTCAATATTTCTAATCCAGTTAGGTGTGTTTGTGATATGATATAGGTATATGGAATTGGTCCAATGTCAATTAAGCACCTTTCAGTTTTCTGATATACACTGGGTAGAATAATTTCTGAACCAACACTGAACTTGAGTTATTCCCAGGACGCTTGATTTGAAAACTGAGCTCTCTTTACTTTTGTTTTGCCAAATACTATGCATTCACAGGACTAAAATGGAATTAAATGAGCAAGAATATTACTCTGATAGAGATAGGTGGTACCTATATCTTTTAGAAAATGAGTTTATCGAAAAAGGTGTTTTATGTCATGATCAAGCTGTTTTCCAAGTATATGTGTATCTATATATACTGGGTTAACTCAATATCAAGCAAGAGGATAAAATGATGGCATTTCCTTATTCATCCAGATGTTTCTAAAAGGAAAGATGTTTGGCATCATATGAACAAAGCTTATGAGCAATGAGTCCATGTTTTGCTTTACAGTGAATGCTTCAGCATCATGTAGGACCAGCTTTAGACTCAAGTTCAGATGAAAAAAAAAAAAAATTAGTGCCTTCATCTTGGCTCAAGGAAGCTCAAACTGTGAGCTGTTTAAGATCCTCTTCGGCTGGGTATGCAGCGCAGTGCCACCAAAGGGCTAGCCAGGAAGCGTGAGCCACGTTTGTCTTGCCCTGTTTCCTCTCCCACAGGGGCACATGGAAGGAGAAGTGTGGGGGCTGGCAGCTCACCCTCTCCTGCCCATCTGTGCAACCGTGAGCGACGATAAAACTCTCCGGATATGGGAATTATCCTCCCAGCACCGCATGCTGGCAGTGCGCAAGCTCAAAAAAGGTACATGCAATCACCTTACACATCTGTAAAAGTATTTACAAACAACAGAATGTGGTGTGTTCGTTCATTCGCTCAAGTAATATTTCCCGAGTGTGCCTGTCACATGCCCCCAGATCTGCAAGGGAATGGGAATTCAATGTTCTTCGCTACAGACGTAAATTCCAGAAGGCTGGCCTCATCTACTATTTCCTTCATTTCCCTTGCATTGCACAGACGTTTGCCACCTGGGGGCAATATGTCCTTCTTCTTCTCATGGAGAGCTATGGGAATCTGTTGAAACACATCAGATTTCCAGAATGCTGTTTATCTTTATGTCTAACAGCCTCTAACAACTGATTTTGTTACTGAAAAACAAAAGTCAGTTTTATTAAAAAAAAATAGTTAATATCAAAAAATGAGTAAACCTGTATTTAACCCCTATGTGCACCAGAACAGAGAGGTATACCGGGAAGTACAAGTTAGTGAGTAGCTGCTATGTGTCAGGTACTGGGGATCCCACAGTGAGTGGTCCCATCTCTAGTGTCAGAGGTGGACAAGAGTTGAACAGAGCCCAGCAACAGACGGTCCATTCAAATACAGCAATCGGAGGAGAGTCTCAAAAGGAGACCATTTGTTAGAGGAGTGGGCAGAGTGGTGAGAAGTGACCAGGGATAGTGCAACACCAGTAACAGCCTGGTGCCTTTACCAGTCCTGGGCCGGAGGAGCAAGAGGAGAAAGAGAACAGGGCCGGAACCTTGAAAGTTAGAGCTGTATGAGATGATGGGGCTGGCAGGAACTAGGACCATCCGTCAGCCTGGGGACGCAGCCAGCATGCAGTGGGCCCACGGGAAGGCTGCTAGGGGGGGTACATACCCCAGACTCTCTGTTCTCCCTTCTTTCCTCGTTCCCTCCCACGAGCCTCCTGTCCATGCTCCCCCTTGGCCAAAGGCAATCAAAGCCAGAAGGCAAAGGAACCTGTCGATGCCATCTACATAGGCCTGCAGAAGACACAGAGTGGGGTGGAGAGTGCTGTAGAGAGACTGGTGAGACTCAGAGGAAGGCATGCTGCCAGGGACAACTTCATCAAGGAGGAAACATGAGAGCTGAGGCTCAGAGGATTTGTAAAAGTTCTCAGGAAAGGATGAGATTGGGGTCTGGCCCTAAAATACTTGTACCTGATAGCTTTACAAGTGAGAGAGATGTGGAGAATGTACTCTAGGGGGATAAAACGAGAGAAGATGTCAAGACGATAGTAACAATGGTGGCTAATATTGTTGAGCCAGTGACTACTAACAATTTGCATTTGGTCTTGCACCGCTAGTAGGTGACGGAACTGAATTCAAACCCAGGCAGCATGGCTTCAGAGAGCACACCTGTGGCTACTGCTTGAGGCTGTTTTTCTCTGCCATACTATAGCCTCTCTTTACAGTGGACTTGTGGACCCTTAGTAAGTGGTGGAGCCAGGATTCAGACCCATGTCTGAGTCCAAAGCCTGTGCTCTTAAACCACTACCTGATTGAATCATTTGAGCACTAATTTATACTGGGAAAATGATACACCAAGACCTCCTTGTGAGTGACTTCAATGTCAGACAGTGGGCTTTATTCACTAGGTTAACTCTTAGTTCAAAAGAACATCTACTAATGTATCTTAGATGGGCTGACCTTTCCACCCAGTTTAGAAAGCTTGTCCCTGTATAATTATTAATAGCTTTTCCTTTCACTCTCAGAAGTGTCATGGTTTGTTCACTAAAATATATGGCTAACCTAATCTTGATGACTCTCCTCAAGGACAGGTTTGTCTTTTGTCCTCTTGGCCCTAGCACCATGCTAGGTGCTATGCCATGACTAATGCTAGTCATGCATTATGCATGACTCATAGCAGTACATAAATAACTTATTACTGAGTGAACGAATGAAGATACAATTTAGATAAGTCAATTTGAAGTTACTGGTATAACATGGCTTTCAGCATACCATGAACAGTGATGGAGGGGATTGTGTGGAAGCTGACTTTGGAATGCCTTAGCACAATGCTGTGTGACTTTTCCATGCCCGGAGCTCTGCTTACCAAAGCCTTGACAGTAAGGTGGGGGGGGGGGGTGCTATTCTTAAACAGATATCCTATTAAATACCACTCCCTCAACAGAGTCCATACTCATTCAGAAATGTCTCCTTGTGACCCTGCAGAGAGCAGTACAAAACATTGCTCATGGAGCCCTGTCAGCCCATACTGTTTAGTTTTGTAGACACCTCTTGAGAGAGTGTTATCCAGTACAGAAGAGGCAAGATAAAATCTTTCACCTGTAGAGTCACACATTATGATCCGTGGATCAGACTTGGAGTGACTACAAGATCCACAAGGTCTCTGAAGCAAGTTTTGGGTGTAGGTCATGATAACCAAAAAACGATTTCTAGAAATTGAATTCCAGAATTCCCATTTATAAGTATCATCTCTTTTCTTGGGAACAAAGATACTGGTTTTCTTAATCTTTCGCTCCTTTCATCCGTTGACTCCATGTGTCTTTTGAAAATCCCAGTATTCAAGTAGTAAGAAACGAATGGATAAACCTCAAAGTGAAAATGTTTTGTTTTGTTTTTTAGCATTCTGATCTTTGTCCTTGGGTTTGAAGGGAAGATATGTTTTTTAAATTGTTTTTAATGTTTATTTTTGAGAGACAGAGACAGACCCTGAGTGGGGAGGGGCAGAGAGAGGGAGACACAGAATCCGAAGCAGGCTCCTGGCTCTGAGCTGTCAGCACAGAGCCTGACGCGGGGCTCGAACCCACGAACAGCGAGATAATGACCTGAGCTGAAGTCGGACGCTCAGTGGACCGACCCACCCAGACACCCCAGGAAGATATATTTTAAATGACCAAGTTTTAGTTTTCCTCACAAGTAGTGTTAAAGGCACAGTAACATGTCTATGCATAATGCACATAGGCACGTTTCTCCATCTCTTCATTGAATATGTTTGATAGTAGAATCCTGGTTAATAACTGTTCTTTGTGGATTCTTTTGTAGGTGGAAGATGCTGTGCCTTCTCCCCTGATGGGAAAGCCTTAGCAGTTGGCTTGAATGATGGGAGTTTCCTGGTCGTAAATGCTGACACTGTTGAAGACATGGTCTCCTTCCATCACAGAAAAGAAATGATCTCTGATATTAAATTTTCAAAAGGTAAAGATTAAAGCAGAAACTTTCTAGAATGTGTTTGGGGCAAAAATTTATGAGAGTGGACTCTTTAAATACTTCCTTGACCTTTTCCCCATTTGAAATAAGTTCCTGGAAGTAAATTCTTGTCTAAAATGTTTGGGTGTTGGGGCGCCTGGGTGGCGCAGTCGGTTAAGCATCCGACTTCAGCCAGGTCACGATCTCGCGGTCCGTGAGTTTGAGCCCCGCATCAGGCTCTGGGCTGATGGCTCAGAGCCTGGAGCCTGTTTCTGATTCTGTGTCTCCCTCTCTCTCTGCTCCTCCCCCGTTCATGCTCTGTCTCTCTCTGTCCCAAAAATAAATAAACGTTGAAAAAAAAAATTTAAAAAAAAAATAATAAAATAAAATGTTTGGGTGTTAATTGCATGTTTTTCTTTACAGATACAGGAAAATACCTTGCCGTGGCATCCCATGATAACTTTGTGGATATTTACAACGTACTGACAAGCAAACGGGTGGGCATCTGTAAAGGTGCTTCTAGTTATATTACCCATATTGACTGGGACTCTAGAGGTAATGTATGTTGTGGCTTTCACGACAAAATTTTTGTTTCAAAAAAGTCAATATCCATTCATACATGTTTCCAGAGAGAAGAACAGTGGGGCTTTAGAGAAAGACAGAGTGGAGAACCCACAGCAAATATAAGCAACTGTAATTTTGCAACGCAGGGGCACCTGCGTTAACATTTTGCGTAGTTTTTCTGTCTTATTACCACCACCACTACTCCTACTATTATTATTGTTAATTCAAGCCATTGAGTTTTAAGACCATTGAAGATACACGATGCCTTCTGTTACCCTGGCAAGCCACCACTTCACCTTTGGGTTTGGCGTTCCTTGTCCTTGCCTTGTATCTCCTCCTTACTGTTTTCCTTTTTCTATCAATGCTTCACCTCCCCGAGAACTGCCCAAGAAGTCTCCAGCAATTTTCGTGTTCTGACAGAGGTAGAACTCTGCACGCAGCTCACCTGAAGTTACCCTGCTCTCCAAAACTCCCAACCGACCCCCTACCTCCTGCAAGTCATGCCCACAGATGCCATGGGAATTTGCCTGTTTATTTAACAAATCTAGTTTCTACATGTGCAAAGTCTTAAGGCAGGAAATGTGGATGATTCAGAAGTGAGACACAGTTCCTGTAGTAGTCCACAAGAGTTTATAATTTAGTGGGGGAGACATACTTGTGCTTGAAAAATATAGACGCCCAAATGTTAAGGCATGGGGACAAGAACTGGAGAGTCACAGGGAGGTGTTATGCAGGGCCTCTGAGAGGGCCATGTCAGCATTCAGCACCCAAGATGGAGCATCATTGCCCCAGGGGGGGTCAGTTTTAAATCTCATCCCAGGGACTTAGCTGTTGTTAGAGTTTGGAGTAGGAGTTTAGGAATGGGCAGGGTCCCAATTTTGAAAGGAGTTTTAGTTGACCATGGTAGAAAGCACCAAGCCCAGTGGTGTCTCTAAGGAAGGAGCTCACAACAGGGGAGTCCATGGAGCCTCACAGAAGCAGTGTCCTTTAAGGTAGATCTTGAAAGATGATCAGAAGTTCACCAGATGGTGAAGCATTCCAGGCTCAGAAGGAACATGACATGTCAAGATGAGGAGGTGGGAGAAACGGGAAATTGAGAAATAATAATATTGAGTGACTAAGGGCGAGAAGAGAGATGAATGTGGGGGGAAAGACCAGGACAGGATGCAAAGGAACCTTTACCTCCTACTAGGAAGCTGAGCACTGAACTTTATCCTGGAGGTAATTAAGTAATTCTAAAAGATTTAGAGGTGGGGCAGGAGGGGGGTGTTTTCTGCCATCTTTGGAAGGATGAATAAGCCTGGAGTGGAAAAGCAACTAAAATCAGCCAGGAGAAAGAGGTGCTGAGATCTTCCACCAAATAGAGATTATTTCAGAGTTGCCAGAATATTTTATTTCAAGTATTTTTTTTGAAGTACTGGCCATAGACTGATCCTTCTGCCAAGCAGGTATTCATGTGTAACTGTACTTGATGCATTGGAATTTGGACTTTATTTGAGCCTTACAACTTTCAGGCACTTTATATCGTGCAATAGATGGAAGAAAGCATGCTCTTTACTGCGAGAGGTGCAAGTCCCAACAAGGGCAAAGGGAGATCAGATAAGTCTCTCTCACTTTCATGTCAGAGCCCTCCCTGCCAGACACAGCGCCGAGGGCTTAGGCTGGCATTTGTGATCAGAGGTGACACTGGTGGCCTGACAGTCCTCTAGGAACCATTGAGGCCAAACAGATAGAGGGAGACAGCTGCTTCTCAGCCACACTTCTTGGATGTTCTCTGCTTCATTGTTAAAAAAAAAAAAAAAAAAAAAGACAGTGATTTCCCCTGTAAATTCTCTTGCTAATGTCCCGATTTATGTCATGTTGGGAGGAGAATTTAGAACAGTCAGGGGCAGCCTTATGCATCTGTAGAATAGAGTACGGTGTGTTTTGTTGGGAATCCAACACTCACAAAATACATAGCACAATATGTGAAATCCCACCATGACAGTGGTCACTGGAGGCTATACTTGGTTCTTATTCACATGTTACATATTATCTATAAGAGAAAATGGGACATAGGAAGAATCAATTTCAATGGGGAAGACTCTTTTACATTTGTTTTAATTTTGGTAAAATACACATAAAGTTTACCATCCTAACCATTTTTAAATGTACGGTTCAGTGGCATTAACTGCATTCATACTGTTGTGCAACCTTCACCACTGTCCATTTCTATAAACCGAACCTCTATACCCATCAGACAAGAGCTCCCCTTTTCCCCTTCTCCCGGACCCTGCTAACCACCATTCTACTTTATGTCGCTATGAATTTGACTCCTCGAGGTATTTCATGCAAGTGGAATCATATGGTATTTGTCTTTTTGTAACTGATTCATTTCACCTAACATGATGTCCTCAAGATTAATCCATATTATAGCATGTGTCAGAATTTCCTTTCTTTTTAAAATTTTTAAAATTTATTCATTTATTCTGAGAGAGACAGAGACAGTGCAAGTAGGCAAGGGGCAGAGTGAGAGGGAGACAGAGAACCCCAAGCAGGTTCCTGTGCTGCCAGCACAGAGCCTAACGCAGGGCTCGAACTCACAAAAACGCAAGGTCATGACCTGAGCGGAAACCAAGAGTCAGACTCTTAACTGACTGAGCCACCCTGGCACCCCCTCCCCTTTTTTAGTATTAAAAAAAAAAAATTCTTGTTTATTTTCCGTCCTTTTTAAAGCTGAATAATACTCCAAAGTGTGTATATGCCACATTTTGTTTATCTACAGACAGACACGTGTGTTGTTTCCACCTTTTAGCTATTGTGCATAATGCTGCCATGAACGTGAGTGTACTAGACCCTGCTTTTAATTCTTTTGGGGCATCTACCCAGAAGGGGAATTGCTGAATCAAATGGTAATTCTATTTTTAACTTCTTGAGAAGCCACCATACTATTTTGCACAGCTGTTGTGTCACTTGACATTCCTACCAACAGGGCACAAGTGTTCCAGTTTCTCTACGTCCTCACCAACACCTGCCATTTTCTGGTTTGGGAGGAAGTCTTTTTTATAATAGCCATCCTTATAGGTATGAAACGGTATCTTATTTTGGTTTTTATTTGCATTTGGGGATTTTTTTTTAACCTGCAAATGTGTAGGTCCTGTGTTGGATGCTAGGGCTATAAAGAGGAGTAAGTCCTAGGTGAAAAGAACAAGATCTTGGCCAGGATCAGTGAGTTGCAATCATGGAGGCGATAGTCTTTATATATAAAGGCCCCCAATGTAGAGCCATCACTTTGCAGGCAGAGGAGCAAACCTCACTATTTCCACAATTTTGCCCTAAGCCAGCTTCTGTGGTCCAACCAGAGCTCAGGGTGATAGAAAAGGCACTGGGAGTAAGGAGGCTGAGGTCTTTGAAAACCTGCCTCATCTCCTGTCCTATGTGGCCCCTTTGGTCAGGTGAGAGTGTCAGACCAAATGTGTTCTATGGACGGAGAGGAAAATAGAATACTTTTGATTTTCAGGGAGGAGTTATATTACCTGGAGAATCAGAGCAAGTATGCCCATGGACCTTCCCTGGTTTAACTCCAATTTGATCGCCATGAGGCATGTGTCATGTTGGTATTGTGCTCCTGATATCCCAGTTCCCAAAGTGGCTGACCTCAGGAATGTGCCATACTGCCTCAAGACCAGCCTAGTTTTTCACAGCAGGGCCTTGAGGGTCCGGTAAGGGCAGAGAGCAGAATTTAGGAGCAGGGTTCTATTTCATGCCTTTGATCTTGTCAAAAATAGTGAACACATTTGCTAGAGCCAGCTGGCTCATCAGGGGTAGGGGGTGGCACAGCCTCTCGTGTCCATGGCAACCATGGGTCCTAAGGAACCAAAAAGCCCATCAGCCTTTTGCAGGAATGTCAGCTGCCCCTGAATGAAAGCTGCTGAGAAGGGGGGAAATGTGGAGAGAGATAAAATTTGGAAGAATATTTCCTAGTTGATATTAGTTCATTTCTAGAAATATCAGGACTATAAGTCCAGTCAACAGTTTGGGCCATAATAGAACTCTCATTCCCATTTTCATTGCAAATGATCTGATATATTTGGTACATTTAGTATGAATTTTGGAATTGTTCTAACTTAAAAATTATATAACAACTAGAATGATGGGTGTGAATCATTTCGTGGATTATATAGCTCTATCCACCTTCAGGGTGTGTGGTTTCCTATACCTGCTTAGTAATGAGGACATCTGGCTCTTCTGATTCTCTTCTACCTTGTGAGTAGACATTTCTAGTGAATAAAAATGTGACACTTTTGAAAGAATAGAGTTATTGCTACTAAGTGGCAATTATACATGGATTATACAGATTTTTTGCTCTTTGCTTCTGTTCTCAGAATATTTCAGTGCCTTTATGACAGAGCAGAGGCAGCAGAAAAAAAGAGTGGTGACCTAAATATTTTGTGTGCTTGAAAAAAAAAAGTAGTAACTGCAGTAAAGAATATGGTAGGGGGTTGGGGTTGGGGGTGGGAATCATACCCATAATTCCTCTTTCCTAATATAAGAATAGCTGCAGTTTTAAAAATTTCTTCACATCCTTGGTTGCAAGGAACTCAAACCCACTCAGCTTAAATTTTCTAAATAATAGTAAAGAATGAGGTTATTTGGAAGATATAGGGATAGCTCATAGAATCTAAGAGCAAGAAGCAACATCTCCTGAGGAACTGGCTTTAGGAATGAACCAGAAAAGCAAGCAGGCACTTGCCTCCTCTCTCTTCTCCTGCTGTGAGGCAGCTCCTTTCAGAGTCTACTGCTCTCCTGGGTCTGGTGTCGGATTTCGGCCCCTGTCTCTGCAGGACTTTCCTTCACTCATTTGCACATGGTCTGTTCTGTTGCCCCCCAAAGTCACCCTAAGTTCCAAAGTCCATCTTATCCCAGCTAGGCACCCACTGATTGAGTTTCCCAGATCCTAAGTTTCCAGGAAAGAGAATTTGAGTGCCCACTCCCATCTGCAGCCTGACTGGATCAGGCTCTGGGAGCGTCTGGGGCAGCGTCTTCTACCAGAGGACAAACACAACCACAGGGGTCCAGGCAAGGTGGGAAGGAAGTTCTCAGGGGTGGGACATGAGCCAGGTTGGTACCCCACAGGTGTCTATGGTGCTACACAGCATTCTGGTGCCTGTGTCTTGTGTTTAGATCCTCTAATAATTTTGCAGTCTTAAAGTATTTCACTTAACTATTATGATAATTTTGGAGTTTTCTTTAAAATACTAAAAAATACTTTGTAGGTCTATTTAGTTCATTGGAGAAATATTATTCATTTTCTTACAATACTAAATAGCCAAAGCTAATTTAACTACCTAGTTTGTTTGTATACATTCAGCCATAAATTCAGGGAAATGTGCCCATTTCAAAAGAAACTTTTTCAAATTCACTTGCTCCTCACAGTCGAGGCCCCTCATCACCATATTATAACCCAGCAAATTAGAAACAATTAAGGTTTTCAGTTACAAAATTAGCCTTATTTTTAATTATTCACTGAGAAATAGACCTGTAACTTCTGAAGGTTAGCCAAACTAGATTTCAGACCCAGGTGGCACCCACTTAAACGTTAAAGACCATGACAAGTTATTTTGATATTACTTTTGCAAGAAAGACATTTCAAGACTCCTAGATGTACAGAGTTATGGGGGGAAAGAGAGCAGGGGAAAAAATATATGATGTAAATGTACACTGAATTTTTTACCAATGAAGTATTGGGACATCTGCTTCGAAATCATGTGGGGTGAAAGCCTTGAGTGGAGGCTCATGAAACAGGGCTGGCCATGTGGCTAATAACTGTTGAAACTGAACATTAACTGGGCGGTAGAGGTTTTGTATATCCTTCTTACTTCTATATGTGTTTGAAATGTCCCATGATTTTAAAATGCTGAAAAAAATACTAGAGTGTGTGTCTTTTGAGTCATTTAAATTTCAAGCCATAAAGGATCAATGAGGTGTAAAGAGGAGAATCAGGGTGTCTATTCTTCTTCAACATTAATCATAGTGATTACTAGATTTTAATTTTACATCAGATCGAAAGACTGTTTTTGCTCAATGTGTTGTTTTGGGAAAATCTTGGATTTCTTTACAATTTTTCAAGTAAGATAGGGGGAGAGGGCAAGCATTTGTATGTTGTTTTATGTGTCACTATCTTCTAGTTTCTAGGCTTTAAAGTACAAATTTAGAATTTAGACCTGGGTAAATGTGAGTGCTTACCACAAGGTTCTCACTTGTGATGCCACAATTCTTGCCAAAGCAGTTTCCTTTTACTACACATTTGTGCAACCAGGAAAATGAGCAAAAAGCCTAGATTTAGTCAAGCTTTTGAAAAACAGATATTCCTTTCATAACAGAGTAAAACCTAGCAGGCTTGATTCTATGAGGGATGTGCAAGGTCAGATTTTATGAGGCCCGCATTAAAAAATTCATAGCTTTGGGGTTTCTGCCCTGCCATCTAATTGACTTTACGTGCACTTCTGGATAATCCAGCATTCATTTGCTCAGTTTATGAGCCTGATTAAAATGAATCAAAATAGTTGCAACCGTGCTTGTATCTTTACAATAGAAAGATAAATGCAGATGTTAATTGTCTTTTTGCTTCATTCTATCATACTAGGAAAATTATTGCAAGTTAATTCGGGTGCCAAAGAACAACTCTTTTTTGAAGCTCCGAGAGGCAAACGGCATATAATAAGACCTTCGGAGGTAACAGTCATACACAGAGCTTTTTAAAAGTGTTTCGTGAAGATTTAATATGTGCATTTTTAATAAAGCCTGTCCATTATTATCCATTAGTATGGGTTATATTTAGTGTACCTTTAAGCTTGATTGTTTCTTAAATCTGAGTGCTTAATCTGGTTCCCTACATTCTGAGAACCTACGAATTCACTGGTCTGCTGATGGAGCATTGGACAGTCAGCCTTGTGCTTAATCTTCCTCTGCTGCAAGACAATGACTAAGCTTATAATTTGAATGCTACATATTACTTCTTCCATTGGACATGCCCTGTCCTTTGGTGCAAAACTTTCTGTGAACATAAACTTTTGAAACTTACTTTCTCAGTAAGTATTTGTAACACTATCTTCTGCGGTAAGAAAAATTACTTTTTAAAACAAAAACTATGTACAACCTGACCATCCATTTGTATCAAACTGTTTCCCTTTTCCCTGTTTTCCTCATGTCTTTGGCCACATACATAATTTCTTAGTTGTTGAAACCAAAGCCTCTATACAACTTTTGAATCCATGAACTAATGCCTTTCTAAAGGCTAAGGTGCTTTTGCGGCCAAGTGCTTCTTCCAGGGTCTGTATGGAGGTTCCACAGAGTGAACATGGATGGCTGAAAGGTGGTTGCCTGGTTGAGCATTAAGGACCTCTTCTTAGCCCCAGGAGACAACCTGAGTCATTTATTTGCTATATAACCTTTGATGAACGAAAAGGAAATAATTGCTTCCTTAGAGGGAAAGGTGTCAGAGGGTACACCACTGAGGGATAGGCATCTGCCTCTAACTTCAGTCTGTCATTAAGAGAAACCGTCCCATCATTGCAAAGTACTCCCAGAAACATTGGGATATGTGCCCATTCATAATGTTTTCATGGTTTCTAAAAGAAGTCTATGTGCGGTACTTAAGAAATATACGTTGTTAGACATGATGGCATTATATTAATGGAAATTGTTTGCTGATCAATCGATCTCACTCCCAGATTCCAATGTATTTATCTCTGATCAGTCGTCATTCTAACTTTTTTAAAGAAACTTCTGTAGCCTTGAGTAAGAGATATTTTAAATTAAGTCCTTTATTCACTGGACACTTCGTACGCCTGTGTTATTGTCTTGTGAACATTCTTGTGTGATGGTTGTCAGTCTCATTTTACAGACAGGGAGATTAAGCCTCCAGGAGAGTAGGAGGACCATGGAGCTATGGTCCCAGTCTTGAGGGGTCCATGTGTGACTACTTGGCAGCCTAGACCATGGGGCCTTTTGGATTTTTCCTGTGTATTTAAGCATCATTTTACATCACTTCATCTGTGTTTTCCCTTCATGTTCTGGTGCCCCAAAATAAGTGCACTAAAATAAAATTCAGTCGAACCAAATGGTGGAGGGGGAAGGATACCAACTTGGGACCAATGAGCAATTACTGTGTTTAAGAATCTGCACAAGAGGAAAATTTGTGTTATAAGAAGGCCTCTTCACATACCAGACTCTGGCTCTGAAGAGCTCATCTGTCACTCTGAGGTACACAGTTGGTATTCCAGGGGCTGATCTCTGGTGCTGCTGTTTGAGGAGGCCATCCAGCTGATGTTTTCACGCCTGGGATTCTCTGGTATTGCCACCTAAGGGCACTGGAGACGCAGCTCAGCATTTCTTCCACCAATAGTGTCACGCCCTTCAGCTACCTATGAAGGATGAAGAAATCCTCTTAAAAAAAAAGTTTATTTATCTTGGGGGAGTGGGAGGAGAGAGAGAGAGAGAGAGAGAGAGAGAGAGAGAGAGAGAGAGAGAATCCCAAGCAGGCTCCACACTGTCAGAGAACAAAAATGTTCTTGCTATAATAAAGCCAGTGAGGCAGAATTGAGTATTGTTTTCTTTTTTCTTTTTTAAGTTTATTTATTTATTTTGAGAGAGAGAGACAGAAAATGAATCCACAACAGGCTCCTCACTGCTGTGCAGAGCCCAACACTGGGCTCGAACTCAAGAACCACGAGATCATGACCTGAACCAAAATCAAGAGTCAGACACTTAAACAACTGAGCCACCCAGGCACTACAGAAACCCTTTTCAAAAAAGGGTTTTTTTTTTTTTTTTTTTTTTTTTAACAGCCATGGTGAAACTAATACAAACCTTACTCGGCAAGTTGTTAAGTATGACGAATACTAAAATGCCCATTTAAATCCATCTGGTACAGCACAGCACAATCAAAGCGGCACTAAACTAGGAGGCCGGCTCTCTTGAGCCCACTTCCCTCTGGCTCCTAAACCAGCTGTGATTTAAGTGACTCACCTCTCTGGATCTTCCTTCCCCTGGAAAATGATGATGGTAATGACACATCTGCCCAAGGCAAGGTGCTATGGAAGAGACCCTTTGAGGACCCCTCTTCCATCTAAGGTTCAGGATTTTTAACAAGTTTGCCCCTTTTGGGTTTTGTGGGTTAGAGGGATCATTTTTTAATGCTCCCTTTTAAATGCAATTTCTGCAGCTTCCAACAAATTGGGTATTTGCTTGGGGACCTCAGTGTCCAGATCTGGCCAAGGATGATCTGCTGGGGTGATCTCAGGGTGAGCAATAACAGCTCACCCCCACCCCAACTGCCCACTTTTGTGCCTAGATAACGAGGTCAGGGAAACTGCCACCTAGAGCGCTGGCACTGGGGATGGACAGGAAAGTCTCAGAAACAGAATCTGGAACGTGGAAGGGAGTCAGTGGCCAGAAAGCCTGCTTGCAGAACCAGCAGGAGCGTTTGCCTTCTCTTCCTGCAAAGGCCAGTTTAGTGGATAAGAACCCCAGAAAATGGAGATGATTGCTGAGGAGGCACCTCAAGTCAACTCAGTCTGTGGTCCTGCCTGAGGCACCCCAAATCACCAGGGCCAGTGCTGCTTTTTGGTTCCAGTTCGGCATGGTTCCAGGAGGAGCACAGAATGTTAAATGAGGAGAAATTTGAGTGACTAAAATACATTTAATACCTCCCCACGTTGTGACTAAAACCCAACTGCATCTTTATCTTGCCATTTCTCTGTAATGCGTAGGTACGTTAACAGATCAAATCCCACAGGAAAGTCTAATACACAGTGTTGTTACTATTGTTTATTTTAGAAAGGAAAGCCTAGATTATATCAGGATTTCACCTATATGAATTTCAAATCTTTTGTCCACGAATCTCAGAGAAAACAGTTTGAAAGAATAGAATATAGTCACAGTAATACAATATGAACAGCTCTTCAAGTTTGTAAGGTAGTCTCTCTCTAGCATACAGGATGTTAGGCTAGCTGCAGAATCTTATTACTCATTCCTTCTAGAAGCACTCCTTCAAAAAAAGTTACATCTTGTGACTTTTTAAAATAATTTGCTAAATAATCAGCCCCATTGATCAATGCAGCTCAGTGGTTCTCATTTGGGAGCAATATTGCCCCTTCCCCCAGGGATATTTGCCAATGTCTCGGGACAGCTTGGGGAGGAGGGCTGCTGACTTCCAGTGGGTAAAGGACAGGAATGCTGCTAAAATACTACCATGCACAGCACAGCCCTTGACAACAAAGAATCAACTGTCCTAAAACATTAATAGTGCTGACACTGAGAAACCCTGATCTAGCTTATGGCTTAAATGATGCTAAAACCTAAAGAACTAAAAAACTATTTTTTTAGATTTTCTTTTCTATTCTATTCTATTCTATTCTATTCTATTCTATTCTATTCTATTCTATTCTATTCTATTCTATTCTATTCTATTCTAAGGGCCAGAGAATGAGAGAATCTTAAACAGGCTCCACAGTCAACTCAGAGCCTGATGATAAGGCATTCGATCTCACAACCATGCAATCATGATCTGAGACGAAATCAAGAGTCAGGTACTTAACTGACTGAGCCACCCAGGCGCCCCCTAGGAAACTTTCTTATTGTCAGATTTCCACAATTCCAAAATAATGATTTTATACATAGAAAAATGGTTATCTGACTGTAGTGTTTACTTAGATAATCCGTATGCCACTTAAAAACTGCATCTTAGAACTTACGCACCTCAGATCACAACACAATTGCCTAGTGCTGGCAAAGTCATCAGTAAGAACTATTCAGCTGCATTTTTTTATTGCTGTTTATTTTTTTTTAAATAGTATGGCATAAGGAATATAGTCATTGGTAGTGTAACAGAGTCACGTGGTGACAGGTGGTAGCTACACTTTTGTTGAGCGTACCTTAATGAACACGTAGACTTGTCGAATCACCATGACGTACACCTGAAATTAATGTAACGTTGCATGTCAACTACAATAAAGAAAAAGATCTCTAGGTTGTGCAAAAATATATTGATTTCTTTCCTTCTTTTTAAGATTGAGAAAATAGAGTGGGACACGTGGACCTGCGTGCTGGGGCCTACGTGTGAGGGAATCTGGCCTGCACACAGCGATGTGACTGATGTAAATGCTGCCAGTCTTACCAAAGACTGTTCCCTCTTAGCCACTGGAGATGATTTCGGTTTTGTTAAGCTTTTTTCATATCCTGTCAAGGTAATACTGCATGTTTATTATATTTACTTGCTCAGTCTCATTAATAACCTAAAATCTATGAGTAGTATCTAAATGGATATTTATTTTTATTTTTTAAAGACTTTTTTTAAGTTTATTTATTTTGAGAGAGAGTGTGTGAGTGGGGGAGGGCAGAGAGAGAGAGAGAGAGAGAGAGAGAGAGAGAGAGAGAGAGAATCCCAAGCAGGCTCTGCGCTGTCAGCGTGGAGCCCAACACAGGGTTCGAACTCACGAACCGTGAGATCGTGACCTAAGATGAAACCAAGAGTCAGAAGCTTAACCTACTGAGGCAGTTAAGGTGCCCCTCCAAGTGGATTTTTAAATATAAGCAATCAATAATGTTATCTACATCACCATTGTTATTTATGCTATCTAAAAACCTTTATGACACTGTTGACTACTAGGTGTCAGATTCTCATGATATAGAATTCCTCCTTGAAAGGCCTTCACTGGTCATCAAATCCAACATCTCACAAACTGCAGAGGAAGAATTTCTTTACAACATCTTGGGCCAGTGCCTTCCAATAGGTACTTCCTTGGAGAGAGGAAGGTCTTACTCCCTCACAAAGCAGCCCAATTCATTTTTAAATAGTTCAGTTATTAAAACGTTTAGCTCTATATACAGCTGAACAGCCTTCATATGGAGCAAGATAGTCCTCGACTCCCTGAAATCTCAGTTTCTCCGGCCTAAACGTGTCCAGTTCTTCAGCCATTTCCCACAGGACTTGGTTTCCTGCTGCCCCTCCCTCTAGGCACACTCCATGTTATCAATTCCATTCTAAACTGTCTCCTCTGAGAAGGAATTCACCATCTCAGATGTAATCTGACGAGTTAAGGGTCAGTGGAAATTTTACCTTCTTGTTTTGTTTTTGTATTTGTGTTAAATCAAACTAAAATGGCACCAACTCTTTGGGCTGCCACACTATGCAACTGAATCCTAGATTTCATTCCAAAGAAATGTTCAGCTTATCCCTCACCTTGTCCTTACACAATCGATATTCTAAATTTGAGCACAGAACTTTATATTTGTACCAAATAAGATTTATCTTACTTCACCTCCTTGTTCTAACCTGTCAACACATTTTAAGTACCTTTTCAAAATGTTTACTTTCCCTTCCAGCATCATGTCATCTTCTCATTTCACAAGTGTAAGTTTTAAATCACGGGAAATAAAAAAAGACCAGGACAGCCAAACATCACCGTCAGGAGCCCTATTCAGTTATTCTGTTTATTAATGTACACATTGAGTTCTAGTTCTTCAGTCAGGATCAGACATTTACATTTACCCGACTGTGCTATCGTGGAGCTCATGTTTCTATCCTACTCCAGATAACACATCATTAATGATTTGGCAGATACCTTGCTGAAAGCAAGCAAGCAAATCTCCCCTTTTAATAAACCAATCGGTAAAAGACACGTATTTCACACTGAACCCTTGTTGCTGTCTAGTGATCATTACTTCCTTTTCCAAGTGCTTATTGACCTTTTGTGTAATAATTCACCCTAGAATTTTCCAGGGATTGCATCAACTCATGAATCAATATTTGCCAGAGTCTGCTTGTTCTCCCTTTTGGATACAGGAACCTTTTTGTGTTTGAGGCCAACCTCTCCTGGCTTCTAAACTCCTCAGCTGTTCCTGATTTTACTTGTGTGGTCATGTTAAAAGAACCTGCACTCAAGCACATAGTTCTTTTTTGCCCTTTCTGGTTTCAAGAGCATTCTTTTTACAGAGGAGATAAGTAAATCTCCTTTCCGTTTGTATGAAATCATGTGATCTAAGATGTGTTCTAACTTTTGCCTATTTTTTTTCTAGTCCTCCCTGTATCTTTGAATTCCTTTACGGTTATCTTAGTTTTTGACATTAGCATTCCTGAAACTACATTAAAGTTTTCTGTGCAAGACTTCTGCGTTCATCCTTGGTTATCCACTCCTCCATCATTTGTGCGCTTAAGACGTTGAACACACCAGTTCCCTCGGCAGCAACTTTGGTTTCCTTAAATGCCTTCCTCTTTAATTCTTCATTTGTTAACATCCTGTCAGGGTATGATTTTGGTAGCATTTCTAAGATACGCTTCTGAGTATATCCAGTGTTCCCTTCATTGTCCTTCCCCTCAATTCACCATCACTTATCAGCACCCCCTCCCTGTGTGGTCACAGTTCAGTTCTCTGTAGCACTTTTCCTTCCTACTTTTACATTTTTTGGAAAGAGATTGCTCACAAGACAAGTCAAAAAGTTAGTGATACCCTGGCTTTAGTAGATGGGTTGTGGCAGATCTTTAAGTAGCTAAAATCCCCATGGTACAACTCCATCGTGCTCCTGAGCTACATTTGTTGTTGGTCCTGGGAATTCATCATCTGCATCCCCAGCCTGCCCAGGTAGGCTGTCTATAGCAGAAATTTCAAGCTGTGTTCCTCCAACTCCCAGAGTTCCAAGGAGGCTCCTCAAGGACAACCTCAACAAACAAAGTAGGAGCCAACTGAAGGGGCTCTGGGACCCCACCCCTACTACCCCAGAGCCACTCTGCGTTTTATATTTTATACATTGAGTTTCCGTATAAGATTTTTTCCCCAACATTTTGTTATGAAAATTTTCAAGCATACAAATAAGGCAAAAAATGATACAGTGAACTCCTGGAGTTGTATATAGAATTCATAGATTCTATACATATTCAAACTTAAATTTTTTTTTAATGTTTATTTATTTTTGAGAAAGGGAGACAGACCACAAACAGGGGAGGGGCATAAGGAGAGGGAGACACAGAATCTGAAGCAGGCTTCAGGCTCTGAGCTGTCAGCACAGAGCCCAATATGGGGCTCAAACCCCCAAATCACGAGATCATGACCTGAGCTGAAGTCGGAAGCTTAACTGAGCCACCCAGGTGCCCTGATTCTATACATAATTCAAAGTAAATTGTAGGGGTGCCTGGGTGGCTCAGTTGGTTAAGCGTTCAACTTTGATTCAGGTCATGATCTCAAGTTGACCAGTTAAAACCCCACATCGAGCTCTGTACTGACAGCTCAGAGCCTGGAGACTGCTTTGGATTCAGTGTCCCCCTCCCACTGCCCCTCCGTCACTTACACTCTGTCTCTGTCTCTCAAATAAATAAACATTTTAAAAAAATGTTTTTTAGGGGCACCTGAGTGGCTCAGTCAGTTAAGTGGCCGACTTCAACTCAGGTCTTGATGTTGCAATACATAAGTTTGAGTCCTGCATCAGGCCCTGTGCTGACAGCCCAGAGCCTGGAGCCTGCTTCCGGTTCTGTGACTCCTTCTCTCTCTGCCCCTCCCCAGCTGGCACTCTGTCTCTGTCTCTCTCTAAAATAAACATTAAAATTAAAAAAAATTTTTTTTAAACAAAGTAAATTGTTGATATAAGGATACTTACCCCTAAATGTTTCAGCATGCCTGTCATTACCTATAGTTCAACATTTGATTATGGTGTTTTTATTTTAAGTTTATTTATTTTGAGAGAGAGAGAGAGCAGGGGAGGGGCAGAGAGAGAGGGAGAAAGAATCCTAAGGAGGCTCTGCACCATTAGCGCAATGTGCTTATGGTGATTTTTAAGTACAATTTATATATAGTTGAATTACACAGGTTTTTTTAAGGTTCCTTTTGATGAACATTGACAAACACATACACCTACATAATCCAAACACCTGTCAAGATACAGATTCAAGATATAGATCACTATCATCACCCCAAGAACTTTCCTCATGCTAACTTCTGGGTCAGTCCCCCCACCCCCCATCATTCTCACATGAAAAGACTATTCCATTGTTTTCCACAATAGATAAGTTTTACCTGTTCTAGAACTTCATATAAATGATCAAGTAGGTACTGTTTTGTGTCTGGCTTCTTTCACGCAGATAATGTTTCTGAGATTCCTCCTAATAGTCTGTTCCTTTTTATAGCTGAGCAGAAGTCCATTGTATGGATAGAACAGAGTTTGTGTACCCGCATGGCTGTCAAAGGGCATATGCTTTTCCAGTGTTTCGTTGTAAGAAAGCTGCTATCAACATTTTTTGGACAAATCTTGTGGACATGTTTTCTCCTTCTTATGTAAATACATAAGAGTGGAATTTCTGGGTCATAGGGGAAAATGCATGTTTAACTTTTTAAGAAACCACCAGACCTCTTTCCAAAGTGGTTGTATCATTTTATATTCTCATAATGAATGTAAGAGAGTTCCAGGTGCCAACATTCAGTATTGTCACACTTGCAAAATTTAGTTGTCCCAGGGATCTCACTGTGTTTGTAATTTATGTTTCCCTGATGACTAATGACGCTAAGCATTTCTTTGTTTCCTTACTGGGCATTTGTGAAGTGTTCATACAAATCCTTTGTCCACTATAATAAGTTGGATTGTTTCTTGTTATTCTTGAGTTCTATGTAAGATTTGATGCAAGAAAGAGTTTCATAATTTAAAAGCATTTGAAAACCACTGGTCAATGTAAACAACTTTGACAGTGTCACTTCTCTTCCTCTTCTTAACCTGATTTTTCTGGCACACTTTTGCTCCCAAATACGTGGACCCAGGCTCATGAATAGTTCTAGCTTTGTAGCCCTCCTCCAATGCTTTGAATCTGTTGGACAGAGCTCACCGTCTGTTATAGACTGAATGTTTCCCCACCAAAATTCATGTATCAAAGCCCTATCATCCAATGTGACTGTATATGTAGAGAGGGCATTTATGGAAATAATTAAGGTTAAATGAGGTCACAGGGTGGGACTCTGATCTGATAGAATTAGTGTCCTTCTAAGAAGAGACACCAAAGAGGGGCGCCTGGATGGCTCAGTCAGTTGAGCATCCGACTTTGGCTCAGGTCATGATCTCACGGTTTGTGAGTTCAAGCCCTGCATCAGGTTCTGTGCTGACAGAGCCTGGAGCCTCTTCAGATTCTGTGTCTCCCTCTCTCTCTCTCTCTGTCGTCCCCCCCCCCCCGCTTGTACTCTGTCTCTCTTTCTCTCAAAACTAAATAAACATTAAAAAAAGAAGAAGAAGCAGAGACACCAAAAAGCTCATATTCTGTCTCCATGCGCACTGAGGAAAAGCCATAAGCACACTTTCTACGTGCTCATGTGTGGTATGAGGCCAGGAAGAGAGCTCTCACCAGGAACCAAATTGGTCTTATACTTTCCAGCCTCTTCCCAGAACTGTGAGGAATGAGTTTCTGTTGTTTAAGCCTCCCAGAATGTGATATTTTGTTAGCACAGACTTACCACTTTAAGACACCATCCCACTGTAGTGTTCTAACATTGAGTTCTATGTCATCAAGTCTTAATGATACTTATGAGATCTCAACACCACACAGCAATCTCTTTGCCCACAATTCAGGTTGCATTTGTTAGACTCTAATGTCCTATCTTCTTCTTGACCCTTTTCCCTGTTCTCCTTTGCTAGGAGTTACTCTGTCTCTCTTCCAGGCAGTATTCTCTCAATGACAAAAAGGTGTTCTTTTCAGTTTAAAATATTCTCAATGAGGTCATTAGTCCCTTGATAATCACATTATTGCCAGCCTCCATAAAACAGACTCTCCTTCCCAGAGCCCGCCATTTTTCTAGTACCTTAAATCATGTATCACAAGACCCAGTTCCATCCTTGGACACCTGGCCCATTACTCCCATAGCCTCCCTTCCCTTGGAAAGCTGTGTCTCTCCACTATACCAGAGCGGTTAAAATGCCACCATGTCAGTAACATTTCTAAAACCCACCCTCAAGTTCTCAAGTCTCCTCCCCAGAAAGTCAAAGACTCTGGAGAATGGTTCTTCATAGAGGAACCTTCTCTCTGTTAAATGTTACAGACAGAGAAACTATGTAAAACGTTGTGAATGTGGGAGAGGATACATAGGTTTCCATCAAACTCTCAGGAATTTCTCACCTAACAGCAGTTAACACCCAGCCTTGTGGAGACATTCTCTGTTCTTTCGTGACTCAGTGGAAGAGGAAAGTTGTGGTAGTGAATCTCTATGAGTGTTACAGAAATGCGTGGTTTGACATGATGACCCAGAAGGACAGCTCATCTGACCATCTGTGTCACGTCTTCACGAGACTCCTTCCACAGGTCCTAAGGGAGCCACCAAACATCCCTGCTGGCCTTTTCCTCGTGGGGGAGCAGCTGGTTTCCTAGAAACTTCTAGTAACTGCAAATTCCCTTTATTGTTCTACCCAGCAGTTATCTTGTTCCTATTCTGAGAATCTTGAATCCCCCTCTGCTGCAAGAATCCCAGCTTTGTTAAATAGCTTCAGTGACTCAGAATTTTTTCCTCTTTCTCCTCTGTTCCTTTCTTTTCCTTCACAACCTGATTATGATCAACTTAGGATAATTTTTCTCTGAACTTTTGTTTTTGGATTTCTTCTTCCACCCTGTCTAGAAATCCTGTAATGCTTTAAATAAGTCAGGGCATGGAGAGGCATTTTTCAGGCTCTTTAACTTTTTCCTCCTCAAGAAACCGGCTTGTGTTTGTAGTAGATATAATGGGTAGGTTCCTGCTTCCAGCTGGAAGACCAGCAGGACACATGGCTGCAGCCACTATGACTGTCCTCTTTGTCTCCATGCCTTCTGGATCTCATATAGTCACATAGTGGTTTCCCTTGGAAATCCTTATTTTGCTCTGCCTATTTTCTAGCAAACTAGTGGCTCTGGAGGGCTTCCTGAAAATATGGCCTGCCTATTTGCTTCCCTAACCTTTCTACACTCACTACTCTGCGATAGAGTGGGCATTTCCACTTTGCTGTCAGGTAGATGTCTGCTAAATACAGAGAGATCTTGAGTAAGAGAATTTCAAAGCCATGCACTCTGCTGCACCTGTCTCCTGCCATGTATCTGTGCTGGTTTCGGGTTCCCTAGCATGCCAGTCCAAAACCCTCTGGAAGTCTCTTCCGTTATTGAGTCAAGTTTTCAGCGGGGACACTGATGGCCCTCTCACAACCTCAGAAAGAACATGTGGCTACCCACATTGCTTAAGGTATTCTCCAAGAGTCGCTGAGAGGATGGAAAAAAAAAACAACTCCCTCTTTAAATGGCTCTTGCTGGAGCTGTTTTTGCCAGGCTATGGCTCATGAGCCAGAAATGGAAGCTGGTTTCTGGTGGCAGCTTCGGCTTCCCACCACTTGTCAGGATTGCACAGTGTGAGCAGCCAACTGCTATTCCACCTCATCCTTCCCCACCTGGAATGAATGTTGTATGGCCCTGTGTGCAGTGCTGAAGAGCTTTCCATAATTACTAATAAACCGGACCTTTTATTTGGTTTGTTGAAAAGAAGCTTACTAGGGCACCTGGGTGGCTCAGTCAGTTAAGCGTCTGACATCAGCTCAGGTCATGATCTCTTGGTCTGTGAGTTCAAGCCCCACATCGGGCTCTGTGCTGACAGCTCAGCCTAGAGCCTGCTTGGATTCTGTGTCTCCTTCCTTCTCTCTCTGCCTCTCCCTTGCTTGCGTATGCGCTTGCTCTCTCTCTCTCTCTCTCTCCCTCTCTCAAAAATAAACATCAAAACATTTTTAAAAAGAAAAGTAACTCACTTTGTTTTAAAACCAATTATTTGTGTTTCCAGTGTCCAAATTTGTTTCAAACATCTGTGGCAGCAACTGTTGTGTTTGTTTGAAATCTTACTTGAGGCCCCAGAATTAGAAGAAGTCCCTTGCTCATCTTTCTTAGCCTGGGCTGTGGTACAACTGTGGGGCTGTGGGGATTACTGGGAAGACACTTGTGATGTCAAATGTTAGCCAGACTCACCATCAGGAGTTTACACAGGAGACCTATGGAGAATGTACGTTTCATATTTGAGAGAAACAGAATCAAGCTGCTTCTATTTCGTTAGGTTCCCAGAAATAGGTTCTGCAATCTAACATTTCATTTGTTTCCTCACAAACCACCTACTGAGGACCCATGATGAGCCAGGTAATGTTTTATTAAAAAAAAAAAAAGAGAGAGAGAGAGAGAGAGAGACCTAGTTCCTGCCCTCATGGAGCTTACCCTCTAAAGAACGGGAGGAAAATTGCTGCTTGGATGAACTGCTTAGTTGGTATCCACTAGAAGCCGCTCTGGAAAATAATATGGATGAAATAGTCTGGAGACAGGAGTCATGAGACTGGTTGGGGTAGTCACCAGTTCCTGGGCTTTACAGGGCCAGCATGCAAGGTTCAAGAAGTATGTGGGGCACAGCGCACACGTCACCAACGTGAGGTGGCTGCACAACGACTCTGTGCTGCTCACAGTTGGTGGAGCCGACACAGCCTTGATGATCTGGACGAGGGAGTTTGTGGGGACCCAGGAGAGCAAGCTGGTGGACAGCGAGGAGTCGGACACCGATGCCGAAGAGGACGGAGGTGAGTGAGCCCCATGTGCCGGCTGCCCCTTCCACACATCCCACCCCACCCCCCAACCCCGTGCCACTGCCGACCAACCCCATGCCCATCTCTTTCCGTTGTTTGAGGCTATGACAGTGACGTTGCCAGAGAGAAGGCCATTGATTACACCACCAAGATCTATGCTGTGAGCATCAGGGAGATGGAAGGCACCAAACCTCACCAGCAGCTGAAAGAAGTTTCAGTGGAAGAAAGGTATGGTGTCACCAGGTTTGCATTTATTATACCTGATTTCAACAAGAGTTCATTTTCTTTGCCCTCAGAGTTGTTACTTAAGCTAGTCTTTTGTGTCTATGCACAGAGTGTTAACCTGCATACAGAGTTAAGCTGCTGAAAATCATCCATGGCCCTCGATATGTGGCAAAGGGTGGGTTACACTTTGCAGAAGTTGGTTGTGGAATATGACTTGAATAGACATGAGGTTTGATTGGACCAGGCTTATCCTTGCCCAGAGAGGATGTCAGGGTAGCCTATGCACTGTCTGAAATGTGATGGCCAACAGGAGACGTGCTGATCAGCGAGGGAGGGTGGGCTTCTAAGGTCCAGAAGGAATGTCTGTGGGTCCTGAGAAATAACCCTCTGTTCGAACCAGTCTGTGCGTTACACGGGGTCACTTGGCGTACCATCTCATACTGTGTTTTCACCTGCCCCAATTTGTTCAGGTGGGTTTGGTGACTCCAGACCTAACCAATTTGATTTGGCTGCCTTGGGATTCTTATACAGAAAGAAGGTTTCAGATGTTATTTTAGGCCTTTTTGATATGTTATTGTAAGTATCAATAAGAGAAATAGCCAAATATTTAGGCTTTTTTTGGAAAAAAAGCTCATCTTTTCTACAGTTATTTAATTTACCATATTCATACTAGAAAGGATAAATACTCAGTAAAAACTCTCACATCTGAAGAGAATTTCACGGATCCCAAAGATGTTTTGCCATGGATTGGTTGTTCACAGGTACCCTGGATCCACTATAAGAAATGAGATTCAGGTTGTTTTTTGTTGTTGTTTTGTTTTGTTGTGTTTTTTTGTTTTGTTTTGTTTTTTTGCATTCAGCATGGCTTTCTTCCTAATAGTAATTATTTCAAAAATTTATTCTATCACTTTTTACTAGTATGTAGGAATATAAATATAAAGAAGTAAAATATTTCTTCCTCTTGGCTCAGTTCAGTGCCACATGTTAAAATAAGCTTGATAGGGGCACCTGGGTGACTTAGTCAGTTAAGCATCTGACTTTGGCTCAGGTCAGGATCTCGTGGTTGAGTTTCGTCTTCGCATCGGGCTCTGTGCTGACTGCTCAGAGCCTGGAGCCTCCTTCAGATTCTGTGTCTCCCTCTCTCTCTCTCTGCCCCTTCCCCACTCATCTCTCTCTCTCTCTCTCTCGCTCGCTTTCAAAAGTACATAAATAAACAATAAATCAGCTAGATAAAAAGTGGGTGTGCTACAGGCAAAAAGAGGGACTCTGATGCAAAATTCCCTAACTCATCCCTAGCATCTTTGTTAGATGTCACTACGAAGGTTCAGAATTCTCTTTTGATGAAAAAAAATTACTGAAAAAAAATTTTTTGCAGTAGTCTATAAATTACAGTTTATCTTGCTTGCAACATAGTTTTTTAGTGGTCACAAAGATGAAATAATTTTAAAGGACCTAATTTTAAGAGTAAAGAAAAAAAACCCATATGCATGTTAGTGCCTAAATAAGCCTCCCCCTTAAATAATGAACTCTTAAAAACATTTGCCCTAAATTAAACATTCTTTTGAAAAAAAATTACCCAATGTCTCCAATGTCACATAACATTATGAAATGAGTTGACTTGGCTATTATTCCAAGGTTGTTTCTGGCTGATTTGTACAAGCCAGTGCTTTGTCATGCTGAGACTTAGGCCAGCCACTAAGATTTAGAAATCTAAGCAAAGTCCCTGGCTGCCAGAGGGCATTGATGGGGAGTGACAGCTAATGGGTACCAAGTTTCTTTTTGGGGTGATGGAAATATTCTAAAATTATAGTCATGATTGTACAACCTTTTACATACTAAAAAAAATCAAAACTGAATTATATACTTATAGTGGGTGGTTTTCATGGCATATAAATTATATCTCAATAAAAGTTGTTTAAAATGCAAATAAATCTATCTATCTATCTATCTATCTATCTACCTATCTAAGCAAATTCACAATTCCAAACACTGCAGCTGGTTTCTGACCTAAACTGAGGGTCATCTTAACCTTTCTGTGTTGTGATGTCTCTTTGGGTAGGTCTGTAAAGACCTCAAACCTGTTCAGCTTAGGAAAAGTTATGAGAGGTGAAGGTACAGAGGACCCTAAGAATTTTCAGTCTTAAACTCCAGAATTCTGAAGCGACCTCATCACATCAGTTGGGGAACTTGCTGTACATACATTAGCATCCACAGGATTGACTTTTATACAAAAGAAAACTAAATGCTGCATGGTATTAAGAGATACAGGGGTAGGCCTTTCAGTACTCTGTTGGCATTTTAAAAAATAATTCACAACAGGGTGTAGTGAAGAAAACATGTAGCGAACAAAACATTTTTTGAGATAAATATAGGGTCTGGAGGAATAATCAAGCCTTCTTTACAGAAAGCAACATCCTTGATAACTTAAAGGCCGTGATAGCTTCAGTTCCTAGAGTGGGCTGTAACCAGAGAGCAGGGTGCCAGCTGCACAGCATGCTGGGAGCAAAGCTTGACCACAGCAGGAAGGGGTGAGCGGGGAAGGAGCAGCAATTGGTGTCTGAATCCACAGCCTCCATGGAGACAAATCCTAATCAGAACCAAGAATCGTCAGTCTCCACCAGTCCTCCTCAGTAATTTTAGGGGAACTTGAACCTCAGAGATAGGATGGTAGACAGCATCTGAACTGCAGAAGAGCGAAGGGGGTACAGACAAGGTGGGTGTTCAGAGACTTTGTGAGAAAGCAGGATGAGAGAAGGAAGGTGGGGTAGGAAGGGCTCTTGGCAATAAGCTGGGAAGACACCTCACCTGCGTCCTCACCTGGGAAAAGAAATGGGCGCTGTGGATTCCAGCATCCCAGGCCGAAGAGAGAGGCAGGGACAGAAATGCTGGGGTCCTTCAGACCACAGGAGTATGGGGTCAGGCAGCACTTAGCTTTTCCCTGACTGTCAACCCTGACACTCTAACCTTTGACTACTTGACGCCCTCCTGCGTGGAGAGACAGAGGCTTTTCTTGACCTGTCCTTCATTGTTCCCTCCTGTGTGTACCTGACGATACCTACGTATACCTGTGTGCCTTTTCTAAACACCTGGGCCAAGACGAGTCCCAGTAAGACTAACAGGAGACAAACACTTGAGGATTGCAAGAGAAGTGAGCTTGGAACAACCACTCAATGCACGGACTTACTTTGCCTCTTACCAGTGTTCCAGAAAGTTCTACTCCCGGTTTAAATCCTTTTCCTCTTTAGAACCATGCGATGAGCACAGGATCCATCATATTGAAAACAGTGCCTTGCAGACAGCTGTACATTATGCATCGGTTATTTTTTAAGCAAATGCGTTTCTAATTCCTAACATTTCAGATAGTCCTAAATTGTTTCTAATTAGACTCAGTTATTTGGTTTTAAAATAGCTGTGAGGCTTTGGATTGTGCTTCTTTATACAATGTCTACACACAAGAGTTGTTATTTTTCAGAAATCGTAAGATCTTTAGTTCAATTCTTCTGAGAAGTGGGAAAGTGGAGACAAGTGCGTAATTGCTCTCAAAAGAATACTGAGTTTTGCCTACCAAGTATGTAATCCCTTGTGGGTGTGTACCCTGGTCACCCACTTCAACTTTGCTCTAGCACCCTTGCCTCTTTCCCCTAGCCACACTTGGCTAGCCAGTGCCCAACTTGGCTGAACCCTTGGGTAATCCTGCTGGTCAGCTGCCCATGTGTGGCATGTGGCTGAGGAAAGCCGTGGAATCTTTTCCAGTGCGGGGAACCAATGCTTTAGGCCTTATCTGGACGCTCAGGCCTGCCCCATAGTGCTTTCCTTCTTCCCCTGCTGTTTCCAATTCTGGTCTAGAGCAACCTTTCCAAACCTCTCATGTCTCTCAAGTTCCCACCTCTACCCTGACACAGCTTTCAACTTTTGACCTCATTCCTACTTGGCCATGTTTTCTCAATATTACAGCTGTCGCGTCCATCCGCAAACTTAAATTATTACTTAATAAGTACTTGAAATGCCAGTTCTTTTTCAGAAAAGGAAAAACAGGAGGGGGGGAAACGTAGTTTTTTAGAGCAATTTAGCATATAAAATGCCTACCACTGTCACAGCACAAGGGATAGTACCCAAACACTGGGTTCTTACTTCAGTAAAAAAGACTTCTTCTGAACTCATCAGGTGACACATCCCTGAAATTTCCTCAGCATCAGTACTAGAGTTGCCTATAAAATTAAGAAGTTTCTTTCACCGCTTTACCAAGGACACACCAAGTTTATATGTCATTTTTTTTTTTTAATTTATAAGGTAGGACTTTTAGTTTCAGGGAGCTCCCAACACAAACTGGCCTCAGCAAAAGGAACCTATTGGCTGAGACACCTGAAATCCATGGATAGAGTAACTTTAGGTGTCACTTGATATAGAAACTCATCTTGCTATTCTCTCTGTTCTCTCTCCATATTTCAGTTCTGCTTCCTCTAGGTTTTTGCAATTCAGGCAGCAAAACGACTGCAGTGCCTGGACCTTACAAGTGTCTGTGGCTCAAAAGAACTGCATCTGATAAGTCCTCACAAATGTTTTATGATGTGCTACTGGCTCTGGTGGGTCACGTGACCACCCTTGAAGCAGTCACCGGTGACCTATAAAATATGAGCCTTTTATTGACTGTTCGTAATTAGTCACATGCCACCTGTAGACTAGCGGTGTAATCACCTCCACCAGAAGTAAAAGTCCAAGGTGGCTAACAAAATTTGATTTCTGGATAGACCCAAAAGAACGCACATCTACTCCGCTCCACCCTTTTTTTTTCATATGCACACTCTTGAAATGCTCTAATTTAGGGGTGCCTGAGTGGTTCAGTCCTTTAAGAGTTTGGATTCTTGATTTCAGCTCAGGTCATAATCTCACAGTTTGTAGGATCAAGCCCCTCACAGGGCTCTGTGTTAACAGTGCAGAGCCTGCTTGAGATTCTCTCTCTCTCCCTCTTTCTCTGCCTGTCTCCTGGAGTACGTGTACTCTAT